ATTACCCTACCCTGGTCAGGAAAGTCGATAGAAAACAGACACCGGGACTAGAATTGTATTACCCTACCCTGGTCAGGAAAGTCGATAGAAAACAGAACCGGGACTAGAAAGAGAATAAGAACTTAGCAAAGCTACTGAGTTTGAGGGTATTCGGGTTAATAATTACAAAGTTTCAAGCGCTTAAAACTCAATGGACTGGAAAAGGAATGTATGGAGGGTTTTTGAGCAGCGTCCCCAAAAACCATGCATTCTCTCTTATTTTTACAAATTTAAAAAAATTCTTACTCGGTTAGTATTCAGGCGCGTAGCGTCCTTTACGCATATACGCAAGTGCGTACTAGTAGCAAGGAAATGTTGAAATTTTCGGGATTTAATGCCTTTTTATACTCTCGATGACCCTCAAAAGGCTGGAAATCGCATTTCCAAGGAGTTATTATTTCAAAATTTCCCGGGGAGGATCCCCAACCCCACATAATACTCCCACCTTCGGCGGTCGTACTGGTCGTTAACCCCCCTAATCCAAAATATGTGTCGTGGTCCCTAACATGTGCATACTAGCCAAAACGTCCACGCTACGCGCCTGGTATACAATAACTAAATATGCTCAAACTTGACAAGAACACTTATTTTAGTGTGGTCTTTCATGTGGTGAGGTTCTGTTTTCGATGAATGTAATATTTTCACACTCGTTCCTAGTGTCTCCTTTTGAATTTTGGAACGGCTAATAGTTCACCTTGTGGGCGATGGTGTGACTGCCCAGATTTTTTAAATAAGTGAAGAAGAGAAAATAGGAATTGGGATGGTAATGGTAATTTGAAAATGCAGCTGAGATTTTTGTATTTTTGGATCTTTGGGAAGATTGTTACCCACCTGAAAGCAATTTACAAATTTTATTCGTTCTATATTTTTTTTATCTTGATTATCACATTTTTTCTAAAGTAAAACCAAATTCCGTGAGCTTTTGGCCATCTTGTACTTTTTTTCTTGATTTGCATATGTAGATGACATCCTTGGGCGCAAGTATTTCAAGAAAAATTTTGCCTCTTGTGCAGCCTTCAAGCTAGTGGTATAAGGAGTTAATGGAGGATTATAAATCGACCAACACAACTACAATTGAAAATGATAAAAAAACTGAAATGTAACTAGTAATAAACACCAAAGTACCAATAATCCCCTGCGCCACTCGCTTGCAAGCTCAACACGCGACAAAGTTTCTCGAAACGAGCTGGATATGTAATTTTTCAACCCTGAATTATTTCCCATGACGCTGTTTTCTTCGCTGAATCAATGGCCCAAACCAAGTAAGAATGGATTGGGTACAGACTCAATACAACCAGAGATGATTCATTCACACATCAATGGTACAAGACCCTTCGAGTTGGTTTAGGTAAGGTTGAAGTGCTGAAGAAACTTCTTCTTTGATGAACCTAACAACCTTGTTGTTTGAAACAGACAATGCGTAAGTCCTCATAATATTGACCGACTATTGTCATAAATCAAAATAAATATTTACGGAAAAACAAACAAACTATGAAAACTATTAAAATCAACTTCTTTGCCACTGACAATGGAGTGCTCAGTTCAATAACGTTTTTCTATCGGCTTAAAATGTTTGCAGCCGTCACAAAAACTATATGCAAGCCTGCGTTTTGCACATGCCTCATGTGTCGCGGGTACTACCATCCTAACTTTGAGATGAGGATATGTGCCATCTGGTCATCAAAACCCTCGGATTCTATCCCAGACGGCTTGAGTTTTATTTTACCAGACAAAACTAGCCTAAAATAGTTCACCCCTTTCTAGGCATTTGTTGATACACAAAAAGTTAAATTAAATTGATTTATCAATACAAAGATACAACACTTCTCATAAATGATTCTTTAAAGTTAAAGGCGTGGAAAAAAGACGTCACGTCCAACAAAAAAAAAATAACGACATTAACACAAAAATCACCGTTCCCATCACCAGATAAAACAAGGTAACTACAGCGTTAGTGGACACCACCGTTGTTGAGCCTACATAATGGTTTTAAAACTCTCAACCGACTTATACATGAACAAATGAATTAAATACTTTAGTTTTAATGCTGTGAATAACTTTTTGAATAGTTCTACCGTACCTGTTGCGGTGCGCGTCCAATAAACGTCCTGGCGTCAAGTAACGATTCGAGTTCATCGTGAATAGGTGCAAAGTACTGACATGAACGAATCCTTTCCACCAAATCGTTGTCTTTACCTTCTTCTTTGACTACTTTACCGGCCTCTTGTGACAAAACACGAATATTTTCATGGCATTCCTATAGAAGGAATATTACAAACCTTTCATTGAGATATCWATAACGCGGCCGTCTCATTGGCAAAAGCTAAGAACCTTCCMACAGAGGGAATATTCCCCTCTACTAACTATGCTTCCAACGTGGTACAGCATTTTTTTCATTTCAATTTACTTTGCATCTGATCA